CAGTGTAGTACGTGTTCAGGGGAACCTTGTGACAGTGTGGTACGTGTTCAGGGGAACCTTGTGACTGTGGTACGTGTTCAAGGGAACCTTGTGGCAGTGTGGTACGTGTTCAAGGGAACCTTGTGGCAGTGTGGTACATCTTCAGGGGAACCTTGTTGCAGTTTGGTAAATGTTCATGGGAACCTTGTGGCAGTTTGATACATGTTCAGGGGAACCTTGTGACAGTGTGGTACATCTTCAGGGGAACCTTGTTGCAGTTTGGTAAATGTTCACGGGAACCTTGTGGCAGTATGGTACATGTTCAGGGGAACCTTGTGACAGTGTGGTACGTGTTCAAGGGAATCTTGTGGCAGTGTGGTACATGTTCAGGGGAACCTTGTGACAGTGTGGTACGTGTTCAGGGGGACCTTGTAACAATGTGGTACATGTTCAGGGGGACCTTGTAACAATGTGGTACATGTTCAGGGGGACCTTGTGACAGTGTGGTACGTGTTCAGGGGAACCTTGTGACAGTGTGGTACGTGTTCAGGGGAACCTTGTGGCAATGTGGTACGTGTTCAGGGGAACCTTGTGGCAGTGTGGTACATATTCAGGGGAACCTTGTGACAGTGTGGTACGTGTTCAGGGGAACCTTGTAACAATGTGGTACGTGTTCAGGGGAACCTTGTAACAATGTGGTACGTGTTCAGGGGAACCTTGTGACAGTGTGGTACATGTTCAGGGGAACCTTGTGACTGTGGTACATATTCAGGGGAACCTTGTGGCAGTGTGGTACGTGGTAGTACATGGGATGCTGAACGAACAATCACAACTTTGCTTGGTGCATGAATGGTGCATGGTATCCTAGCAACCAAAGCTTTTCTCTATTGGCTCATCAGCCAAATGACATAATGAGAGTTTAAATTGTCTGAAATACTTAAAATTCTGACCGCATGCCAAGATGAAGATGATGATAATGATACCCTTAATTGCCTTGTTAGCAGGCATTGAGTTTTTAGATATTGTGTTCACTGGTACATGGCTAACAGATTTTATAATCCTGGCCATTATACTTAACCTAACCGAGGTAGAAGGGTTGGCGTGGTGCTTGTCTCTGCTGGCTTACCATGTGCAGTGTGCATGTGCATACTACAAGTACCTGCACTCTGGTACGCATCGTTTTAATACGTTCTCTGTACTACCTTCATGCATTGATTGCGGTATCCTTGTGATAACCTTATAATACCATTTCATAATACTGCGCTGTATAGCTGATAGAATCTGAAGTATTGGATTGACAACTTCCTTTCCATTAGAGACTAGCATTTGATTAATTCCAAGGCTACATCATATTATATGGAACATCCTTATGACATCTCTCAATAATAATATTTCCCGCGAAACAGATCATCTTCTTTGAAGCTATCCTTAAGGTTCATAAGTTCATGGTGAAAATCTTCCTTATTATAACCCCTGACTTTTGTATAGTCGCCGACCGGCACCAACATATGGAACAAAGGCTCCATGGGAATAAAGATTAAAATGCTTATTTATTTCAAGGCTGTTAATTCCGCCTTAATTCATAAATCCTGTTGCAATTATTCATTATTATTGTTATTATACCTTGAGGCTGAAATGAAAATTGTCTTTCTGACAGTTATCCCTCACTCCAGGGTGAAATTCTTTGTTATTGTTTTCAGAGTTCAATATTCTCTGAATCAGTAACCTGGTATTGTTTGATAATTCCACATTCCTTTACCAGTAAACCAGTAAATTTAGGATTGATGTTTTGAAGAACCATTAACTCATTGAGCGTCATAATTTTTTCCGCCAAAATTTTGGTACAATATTTTGGTTATTTTTAACCATTTTGGTCCAAATAAAGAGTATTTACTGTTGACTGCAGGTCTTGCTCAAATTTTTGAAAAAAAAATCTATGAAAAATGTAGCATGGTGACGAAAGTTGATTTTGATGTTCAAATGGTTAATGATATGCAAATTACCTAATTTATATGCACAGACTGACTGTATATAGAACTATTTTGTGAATAGTGACAAAAGTTGTCTTTGGTGCTCTAATTGTTAATGATATGCAAATTACCTAATTAATATGCACAAGACAGTATATAGAACTATTTTGTGAATGGTGACAAAAGTTGACTTTGATGCTCTAATTGTTAATGATATGCAAATTACCTAATTAATATGCACAAGACGGTATATAGAACTATTTTGTGAATGGTGACAAAAGTTGATTTTGGCACACAATGGGTTAATGATATGCAAATTACCTAATTAATATGCACAGACGGTATATAGAACTATTTTGTGAATAGTGACAAAAGTTGACTTTGGTGCTCAGAGGGTTTATGATATGCAAATTACCTAATTAATATGCACAGACGGTATATAGAACTATTTTGTGAATAGTGACAAAAGTTGACTTTGGTGCTCAGAGGGTTTATGATATGCAAATTACCTAATTAATATGCACAGGCGGTATATAGAACTATTTTGTTAATAGTGACCAAAGTTGATTTTGGTGTTCAGTTAACATGCATTTTTGTGAACATGTTCTTTTTTTAGCTCCACTGTCGACAAAGTCGAGCGGAGCTTATCATATGAGTGATCGTCCATCGTCCGTGTCAATGTTTTACTTTTTCGACTTCTTCTTGAAAACTACAAGCCTGAATGCTTTGATACTTGGTGTATATGTACCTTGGGTAGACCTCTCTTAGATTTGTTCATTTCATGTTGATATCTTCAATTCTCTAATTTTGGTGAATATTTTTGTCATTTTTGGTAAAAAGTGATATTTTCGACTTCTTGTTAAAAACCACAAGTGCAATTGCTTTGATATTACATATGTAGGTACTACATGTGGACCTCTCTCAGATTTGTTCATTTTGTAATGATATCTTTAATTCTCTAATTTTGGTGAATATTTTTGTCATTTTTGGTAAAAAAGTGATATTTTCGACTTCTTGTTAAAAACCAATAGTTCAATTGCTTTGATATTACATATATAGATACTACATGTAGACCATCCTCAGATTTGTTCATTTTGTAATGATATCTTTAATTCTCTAATTTTGGTGAATATTTTTGTCATTTTTGGTAAAAAAGTGATATTTTCGACTTCTTGTTAAAAACCAATAGTTCAATTGCTTTGATATTACATATATAGATACTACATGTAGACCATCCTCAGATTTGTTCATTTTGTGATGATATCCTCAATTCTCTAATTTTGGTGAATATTTTTGTCATTTTTCGTAGAAAGTGATGTTTTCGACTTCTTGTTAAAAACTGTAAGTCCGATTGCTTTGATACTATACATATTGTTCATTTTCTAATGATGTCTTCAGTTCTTTAATTGTGATGTGCATTGCTAACAGCGGAGCTATCTCAGCCGATAGGCTGCTTGTTTTTTTATATTTGAAAAATTAGAATTTGACAATTTGTCCCTTTTTAGAGTTCAACTGCAAGTATGATTTGAACATGTGATCTACCAATCCACAGTCAGCCGGCGCACACGTGATAATAAAATAAATACGACATTTACTACATGGGGGCCGCCATCTTGAATGACGCATAAAACTAAATAAGAGACAAGTTGTGAAACGCGTTTTTCAGATTCCTACAAATCAGGACAAAAATACTAATCTTTCACAAAAATACGATCCGTTGGGGTTATATTAAGCCAACCGATAACAAAATT